AAGCTATATTACTGGCTACATAATAATCTCATTAATTATTTTGAGTTTAGATTCATCCCTTTGTTTATTGAGAAAGTTAAGTCCAGCCTTATATCTGTATAACTGATGATCTCTGTTGGGGAACTTGAACTTGCCTATTCATGTGTCTGTCAGGTCTTAATGCTATGCAGAACCTCGCTGCTTTAGCAGCAGCAGCAACTGCTACACAGGCCACACCTACAGGTTCTAGCGCCATGACGACATCTACTAGCCCACTAAGTGCGTTAACAAGCTCAGGTAAAAACCAAAACACAGAGTCTGTACTACAAAACTAAGGAAATTTATGTTTGGTTGATTTCTTTGTTGTGACAATGGATGTTGCAAGTGAATCGTATATCACTGGAAAGCCTATTTATGGTGCCACCTTTGTAAGAAAAGTGTATTTTTGGGTTGAGCAGCAGAGGTTGAGTATGTAGGTTGTGCCCTGTAAAACTTAGTGGACACAGGTGAAAGAATATTGGCTAACCGGATAAAACAATACTGTGGATCCATCACAGAATGGCTATAAATACATACTTTCACAGAATTTTAAACTTTATATGCTCTTGGACCTGAAATTAAATGTCAGGTAATCTCTAATATAATGTAAAATACTGAACACCAGGATTTAAACTGTATATTAAACCCATTTGCTTTACAGCAAATTCATTTCTGTTCCACTACTGGCCTAATGCAAGAACTGCTCAATTAGATAAGGAGAAACACTAGTCCATTAGTCCAAATACAACTTTGTCCTCAAGAAGTATAGTATTGGTGCATTGTATAGTATAGTATTGCATAGTATTAGAGAACTGGAGCCAACGACCTTCACCTAAACCCAGTAAAATTTGATAAGATTATATCTGTGAAGGTTCTCAGTCATCCAGGTCATCATAGTCTAAGGAGCTTGGAAAGATGCTTTTTTCTTTCCAAGCTTCTTAGATTTGATAAGATTATGTTTGGGCTTTTGAGCAATAAAATTCAAGAAAGGCGTGTGCAAACTTAAGTAAAAAAAAAAAAAACCTGATTAAAAATATTTTATTACAATCGTGATGATTTGGGTCAATGCCATTTTTTTTTCATATGCTTGAAAAGCAGTCAACAAGTATACTGTATATGAAACACTTTGTCATGTAACAAAAACCAAAACCAAAAAAGTAAGACTGAACTAGAGATGGCACGATACCACTTTTTTATGTCCGATACTGATACCAATATCATAAATTTGGATATCTGCCGATACCGATATGAATCCGATATAATGTGTTCTTTAATCAATAAAACGTTTTTTTAATATATTGGTGCATTTTGTATAAGTTTATACTCAAGTTTAAATAAACAACAACACTAAAGCTATTCTGTTATACCTGTATGTAAAAAATACACTGCGCCCAAAATATTTCATAGTTCAGCAACACTGATCAATCTAATAAACTTAAACCTGCTC